AGTGTTTAAACGTAGAGTGGATTTGGGACACAGAATGGCTGCCTTTATGTGACTGTGCATGTAAAGCTACGGTGCATTTAATGATCCAGTCATAGAGACCCTGAGGACAAGTTCCAATCTCCTCAAAGGAGGAGGTAGACAGAGTTCAAAGCATCCTTCAGGAAGCTCTCATTGCTGGGGTTCTTGATGTACCATAACAAAAAGGTTCGTGGTGTCGGTTAAAAAATGACACCAGAAATAAGACGTAACCTTTTAATTTTGTTTTCTTTTGGATTTCTTTAGGAAAGAAGCTTTTTGGGGAAGGATACAGTGGACTTGAATATGATTACAGAGGTCTCATTAAACTGTACAATTCCATTGGCAATTATGAGAAAGTTTTTGAATACCACAATATTTTGGCCAATTGGAACCGGTTGCGGGATCGGCAGTTCTCGGTTACAGATGCTCTGGAGGACGTAAGCACCAGCCCTCAATCCACTGAAGAAGTGGTCCAGTCTTTTCTGATGTCTCAGAACGTTGATGGACAGAGTAGTTAAGAACTTGGTCAATAAACCAGTTAAGGTTCTTTCCCCCCAGGTTACAGGGGGAAAAGTCATACTGTGAAATCTAAACCATGTAGTTCTCTGGGGGCTGGAATTTGCATTGAAACACTGGTCCAGTCTACTGAAGAGTGCCCATACGGATGAATGTGTGTTAAATTCTTATCAGCATGTGTATGGCATGTTTAGTTCGGCTCACATTTTGAACTCGGTATTCCAGAAAACCCCTTCTTTCTTTCTTCTTTCAAAAGAAGCTACTTTGCAGAAAGTCTGCAAGAAAACCTTAAATAAAACTGTTTGAGCTCAAAAGAGTTGCATTCTTATTATGAACGGAAGGTTTCATCAAGAGCTTTCTGCTGATACATAGAAAGAATAAATGCTGTACGATAAGAAGTTACGGAAGGGTCTTTCTACTGTACACGTAGCAGAGTTAATCGTAAATATCAAGCGAAGGGAGGATGCCCTAGCCTTGGGTCTGCCTTACGAAGAAAAGTGGCAAAGAACCACTCTGGAGAGCGACATACTCTTTGTGAACCGTGCCAGGGGGTTAAGCCAGTCACCACCGTGTGTTTGTTCTGAACACCCTGAACTGGACCAGTGTTCATCGATCAGAGATAGAGGATCCAGTAGACCAGCAATCATAGTTTTCTTTGGTACCAACCGAGAGTGCTCATCTTCTGACCAGGACCAGGAGAACGGAAAGTGGACCAGCCTGCTAGAAACAGTTTTTGGACCAGTGGCTTTAATTTAATATTTCTGCCCCTGCATTCACTTTTACAGTAGGATTATTTCATTTAGATGTATGATCAGTGCAAAATTATATTCATGTAATAGATACAAACCTAGGAAGTGAACGTTCTTTAGCGGTTGCGATGGCATGTCTTTACCTAGTGAGCTTATACAATTATTAATGTCGATGCCACAAGCGAAAACTAGAAATGCTTTAACTATTTCCTGCAGCCAGCTCTTTTTTTTCCCCCCCCTCTCCTTTTTGAATGGGCTTACTCTAATAATTGAGGCAGTAACTTGTTTATACCAGTTCATAGTTTTGTATTCCAATCCAGTTGAGCCTGTGTTTCTGGAGAACACAACTCCTTGTACAGTTCGCAGGGGTCAGTGGAAAAATGCCAAAAAGCACAAACAGGGCTTTTATTTTTATTTTTTTTTCTTGTGATGCTTCATTTCTACATTAAACAATAGTACAACCAGAAACTGATTCCTTTATATTAATTTAAAAAGCAGAAGTCAGCTGTAAAGGTCCTCTTATAATGCCTATCTCACTAGCTTGTCTTAATTTTTCTGCTGTTGGGGGGCTGCTCGGTTGTGTGGCTTTTTGGTTTGGGTGTTGGTTTTGGTTTTCTTTGTTACTTTTAATGTTGAGGTAATGCTCATTACATTGAAGGTCTGTGTAACGTAGCAAACTAGGAACAACTCACTGCTGTTACCTCAGTTCCTCTTGGAGCAGCACAAACTGTGCTCCTGTAGTTCAGATTCTGTCGGTTCTGGGTTTTCTCCTTCCCCACAACCCCTGTTTTCGGGGGTTCGTGTCTGGGCTGTCAAAGGTCAGTGTAGGAGGGGGCTCTGAGCGCGCTTCCTCCAGGGCTTGGTCTGAGCGTCATCTTTGGGGTCTGGCTTTTAATTCCTTTGTGAAGTGTGGGCCAGGGGAAGGTGTGTGGTGGTCTTCAAGCAAGAGTGCAGAGCAGAAACAGGAATCTCAGCCACGACTTAGGGCTTAGTCACCCTTAAGAACTGAACTTTAACAGGCCGATAGTTCACATCCTGGTGCCTTCAAGTGTATTTTTGGGGGGGAAGGCTAAATCATACCATCTTTAAAACGCAGTTATGTGGTCAGTGAATGCAGAGTGAAGGATTTTATGCTTGGAATATCTTCACTGATGTGAAAAGAAGTATTTGCATTAAAAAAACATCCCCGTGGTATTAAGACTGCAGTATAACCTCAGTGGCTCTTCAGTGGCAATCCACTGTAGTCGTGTGTGGATTTAAAATCTGATTTATTTGTAGGAAGTGGTGTTTATGACTGTTGGGTGCTACAAACAAATGCAGCTGTCTGCAAGGCAGAACGTTTTCATCCCTGAATGCTCATGCAGAAAGGCACCGATGAATTACAAAGTTCTTACAAATTCCTAAGTCCTGTTAAAACTACTTAGATGAAGCGTGTGTGACTGTTGTCAGAACTTAGGCAGGGAGGACGTGCCTAAAATTGTCCTCAAGAAGCTGTGTTGTATCTCCTGTCCTGCACAAGTGTTCAGAAGCTTCAGGCTGGGTACATTGATTGTGCTTCTGTTATCTGAAGACTGTTTCTTTGCTCTGGGTTTCCAGTCCTGGCTCTCCATTCCCACCTATTGACTGAGGGATCTCAAAACCCTCAAGGCTGTGTGTTCGGGGCGAGGGGTGTTACTTGACTGACACCAGTGACAGTGGTCTACATGAACCACTGCTGTTGTTTCACCTCTGGTTTGTGTTTGTCTTACACCGTTTGCCTTCAAGTTAAGGCAGCCAGAGAGTGTCCAGCACGGGGCAGGACAGGGAGAGGTGTCGTGCTTGTCTCTGATAACCAAATGCCTTAGTTCAGTTGGTTTAACTGTAGCTCTGTTCTCCAGTCTTGCTGGGTGGGTGCATTTATCTTTCTTTCCCAAAGCTACTTCACCAGCACATTGATACTCTGGTGCATTGGTTTGTCTGGAAGGAGCTAAGGTCCTAAAAGTCACCCGAGATCTCTTTGGTAGCAGACTTTGACTTAAGAGATGTGACTTGGTCAAGAGTAATTGGCAGTGATCCTTGTAAGACCCATTGCATGCTCTTCATGTGACTGGATTAAATGCTGACTGGACTCTTGAGTTGATCTTCTGCTTGTAGCATCTCCACAACTCCAGCCACACGAAGGCACGTAAATTATGGAGAAGGGTGGCAGTGGCCAATGGCTAAAGCTGTTAAAGCACAGGAGGTTTGTGGAACAGCTTTGCAATTGCCTGCAAAATGCTCTGTTGCTGCTCTGCATGCACAGCTTGGAACCTTCCCCTCGCGCTGTCCTTGCTACAGGCGTGATGCTTGTAATAACATAAATCCAACCTTTCTAGTTCTTGGTTCTGTACCTCCTAAATCGAGCTCTCGGAACACATCTGTATCGGCATCTGGTGACTGAAATGTGCTGTCAGTAATTACTGTCTCTGCTGTTACAGTTTGATACTTTTGAGGAAGTAGGAGACCAGCTGGATAACTCCAGAGGAAGGTAAATGCTCGTCCCTCCGTGCCAGTGTGGTTGGAGTAGATGTGGTGTTACTGCAGCATTCCATGACGTGGGCCCCAGGCAGAGCGGTGGGAGCAGAGGGTGTAATCCCCCACGGTTTCCCCTTGGAAGCAGAGCTGGGGCGTTCCCCTCCTGCCGTGCCCCTAGAGCAGGTTTTCCATGTACGTGTGAGTACTGGGGAGGGAGCTGTGTGCCAGCCCCGCAGAGCTCACACCCCTGCGGCTCCAGACGCCAGAGGAGGTTAATGAATTATTGGCGTTTTATAGAGGCTGGTTGGGGCTGCATTGACAGGGGAGACCCAAGAGTGGAAATCCGGTGAGATGCATCTTCCCAGGTTTTCTTGAAGGTAAGTAATGTAATCACACCAGAGCAATGGGATGCAAGTGGTGAGGACAGGAGTCACCTTAAAGTAAATTACTGTGTTTAAATTAAACCCTTAGTATTTTATTCTCAGTGTAACATCATTTGAGTAAATGATCTGTATGCTCTTTTCATGCAAACACTGCCATTGGAGGGGGGGAGGAAGGTGGTGTCAGGAGTTCTCCACTGTTCTTAGGATTGGGACTGTTGTATGTGATTTGGGGAAGGGAAAAGGTACATAAAGGCTTTAAGGGCTGACAAAAGTTGCAGAAAGATTTGAAAACAAATGTATCCCTCAGCTACTTGAAGTAAAACAACTTTGACTGTTGGTCCCAAACAGTTGTTTGGTCGCTTTGATGGCACGATATTAATTATAGAGTCATAAAATGGTTTGGGTTGGAAGGGACCTTCAGGTCATCTAGTTGCAACCCCCTGCCGTGGGCAGGGACACTTCACACTAGCCCATGTCGCCCAAGGCTCTGTCCACCTGGCCTTGGACACTGCCAGGGATGGAGCAGTTACCACTTCCTTGGGCAACCTGTTCTAGCACCTCACAGTAGAGAGCTTCTTTATATCCAACCTGAACTTCCCCTGTTTAAGTTTAGACCCATTGTCCCTTGTCCTGTCGCTACAGTCCCTGATGATGAGTCCTTCTCCAGCATCCAAATGACAACCTGCAAAGTGTCTGCCGTGGTGTCCCTGCCCGCGCAGGCGCTCTGCAGCGGTACCTGCTGGTTGGGACTCTTCTTTTTGCACACAGGTCTTGTTAAATAATGTTGAAGGGGGTTTGTTGTTGAATTCTAACTTACAGAACAATGATGTTCTTTGTAAGTTTAAAACCCGAAGTTTTTCTCTCCATGTGCTGCAGTCCGAAGTTCACTACAGGTGTCGTCGCGCTGTTTCTCACGGTACAACAGATTCACGTTTAACTTGATTTCCTTTTTATAGTCCTACATGTGGGTAGAACACAAACAGGAGAATGCATCGTGCCTAAAACATGATTGAAGCTGTTGACAAAAACTTTACTTGGTTTGTGTGGCGGGGTTCGAGGCCGCAGGCCAGCAGCGGGTAGCACGGTGGAGATGTTGCCATTACCAGTCTTTACGTGGAGATCCTTCCCTCTGCTGCCTGTGCAGAAAACACTTATTTTCTCTAAAGGTTGTTGCTTCCCCCTTCTTTTTCCCTTTCTGTTCTATAACACAACAGTGACTGGTCGAATGCTAGTTGCAGATGTAACTCTTCGGTGTGGGTGTCTCCTCGTTTGACACAACTGGCCTGTGGCACGTTGTGTGTCGTGGCCCTACGAGGATTTCTCTTGAGTAGCAGGGAGGAGACTTCCTTGACCTGGAAACAAACTTAAACTACGTGTGACAAATTGGCAGCACTGGTAATGCTTTTGTCCCTAAATCTCAGGAATGTTTTAGGCAGTGAAACCGGTTTCCCTTCAGTGATGTAAAGGCGCGTGCTCTAGGGTCTTGTCTACCACCCTGTCGTTGCAATCCTCGGTATCTATAGCATGAGTGGCCTTAGTGAGTTTGTTGAAGTGCACATTTTTTTTTCTTTCTTCAGAAGTAAAATTTAAAGATGATAAAAGATATATACTATATAAATATATAGAGCTATTTAGAGACTTGGTTTGTGGTGCACAAGTTCAGTGTTGGATCGCTAAATAATTGTCGCAGGTACCATACGTGTAACTTCTTTTCTTTTCTGTATATTCCTTTATGGGAAGCGATGTTGCCATGGTAACTACAACTTTACAATTTCTTTATTAATGATGTGAATGAACTCTACATTTTATTGAATATTACCAGGTTCAGTACTATTTTTATACTTTATTGGACTACAGGGGATTTTAATTTAATAGCGTTTTAAAAAAGATGTTGCTTGAACTGTATAAATCAAACTACTTATACAAACCCCTCCTCTAAACCAGAATCTCTGCCTGTAGTGCCACATTCATTGATATGAAAGTATCTCAACCATTACTAGACCTTGGAGACCACCCTACTTGTCGTGTCAAGACTTAACGTTTCGTACCCTACTTCTCACGGACCGCAGTGCCCGACATTCTTTGTAACCATCAAACCATACTATGTTTGTAACCAGCATTGTGATACTCTGTAACTGTACTGCTAAAATGGAATATTGACCTAATAAATATAGTGTTCCCGCATCTCGAAGTATCTGCATTGAATTGGGTTAAAACTTTGCTTCCAACAAACAGCTGCCCCCTCGCCCCTCACCACAACGTGTCTAAAAGTGGGCGTTTGGCTGTTCCTTGTCAGAGTGAGGTTAGAAGTTGAGTTGATCTGAACGCAGCTCCTGGGGCTGCCTTTGTCGTCTCCTCTGAGCTATCTTGCCCACGCTGGCTTTGTTCTGGCCTGTGGCTAATCTTTCTTGGGCAGGATGACTGGGTTTCTGTAGATCTCTGGTCATACAGCTTTGGGGGTGCTTCCATTGTAGCTGGCCCCTTTGTTTTGTGTTTGATACCCTTTACTGAGTTGTAATACGGTTGCCTTGCCACCCAGGACCTTCTCATACTAATACTTTCCCCTGAAGTAGGCACAGGGACACAAAGTCTTTTATGCAAGTGAGCAGTCACAGGACAAAAGCGTTTTCTGTGGCTGCCTGAGCACAGGGCGGGTTGGAAACAGCATTTCTGGAGCTCTTATCTTTAAACCATCAGGTTTGACTCGTGTGAGTTGGTTTTCTGTGAGCCTGTAAATGAGCTGTAACCCTCCAGTTGTGCGCGGGGCTCAGGCAGAGGTGGCTCATTTCACAGGTCTGTGGTTTCCATTTCAAAGGCAAAAACGCCTTTGAACACTCCTCCAGCTGCTGGGATGCAGGGTGCAGGCCAGGGATGTGCACCCTGAGGAACCCAGGTGAGGTCTCTGTGCCAGCTTCACCTCTTGTAAAACAAGGATGACCCCGGAGGCAGCGACGCTGGTGTCCTCAGGGCTGTGGCCTTGCCCTTTGCAGTTGTGAGGCTGATCTGTGGTATCCAAGTGAATGTAAATGGGTGAAAGATGCAAGTCCTGGGGCGTCTGTGGGTGTTCCTGCAGCTTTCTCAATTCTTCCCCTTTTCCCCAGGGAAACGTTGACATTTGGGGAGTGTTGAAGCCAAACTGCCAAGCACAGACCAACAAAAGGAGACTCAGTAGGAAGCGTATTTACTTCAGCTGGTATAAAGGAAGAACTAACAACAGCACCCCCAAAACTGCTCCTGCCCAGGTAAAAGTAACCTGGTGGTGAAAACTAGAGGTATGAGGCTGTACCGCTGATTTCTGGGGAGTCAAATGAAGCTGGGTACAAGCTGCCTCCCAGTCATGAGTCCCAAACCCTGAGGTGAGCTGCTGGGGAAGGCTGGCTGCTTGGGGGGGGGGGGGGGGCTTGGGGTTATTCTTTAAGCATTAAGAGAAATGCTCCCTTGGACTTCCTGAAGCACAGGGAACTCTTTCTGGCTGGCAGAACGTCTGGTGCATCTCTGACAGGAACAGCTCCTGTCCTGGGGATGTCCATGCAGGGTGACAGGCTGCCACCAGGCACCACGGCTGTGGGCTTCTGCTTATTCCTGATAGCTTTTGTTTCCCACTGAATGAAGTTTCTGCTTCCTATGGCACAAAATATGGCCTTTACTGGCCTGAACTTAACTGCCAACAGTGGCCTCTGCTTGCATCTCTTCAGGTTGTGGTGTGGGGAGAACGGGGTTTTGTGTCTATTCTTTTTTCCCTTGGTTCTACTTTACTATTTGACACCCCCCATAAGAGCCGGGGTTGTGCAACACTTCCTTGAATTCCCTGATGCTCCTTTTCAGTGGAAAAGAGCAAACAGCCCGAGTTAGGAAATGTGCATTGAGCACTACAAGCCTTGCAGTGGTGCAAGTCTGCTTTGGTAGCACTCCTGCTGCCAACTTCCAAAATTAAACAGCAGGAAAAAGCAATCCCTGTAGTATTGCATGAGTAGCACTGGTGCATCCTGTAGCTGATACCGAAGGTTTTCTTACCGTGCACTTAGAGCAGGGACCTCTGAAGGTGAAACCTTTTCTCTTTGCCTGTGTCATCTGGTCAGGAAACTGAGGTTATTTCTGGCAGAGCTCAGTTTTCCTTGAGAGCTTTCCCATCACTTCTGAATCACCTCGAGTCCCACTGGAAAAACTACAGCCTGATCCAAGTCTTGAGCAGGCTTTAATCTCGCTCGGGTCTCTCTTAAGCCAGTGTGATATTTTGAGGGCATACAGTATTTTTCTGAAGCAGCCACATGCCCTTCTGTGTCTGGATTATAGAGTGTGCGCTCTGGAGAAAGGCCAAAACCTTTAACTGAAGGAAACATTCCATTATCTTGAGAAGATTCCTCACGTTCTGCTGCTCAACCAGGTCTGTGAGAAGCTGAATCTGCCGCCCGGTGAAGGCAACGCGTGACATTCTCCTTCACAGCCGCGGTGGGCAGCACAGCCAGGGCCCTGAGTCTCCTGCCAAGGCCTGGGGATGTGATCCAAGATGCCATTCAAAAAGGAAATCTGTTGTCTTGGTTCTAAAAATGGCCTGTGTCATCTGCCCTTCCAGAGGGATCTAGGAGGGATTTTGCTTGCTTGGGTTCAGATTTGAGGCCAGTAACCCTGCCCAAACATCTCATTTTTGGCGTGGAGGAAGGAAGGATCTTTGGCTTTGTTTTCTTTTCCTGGTCAGATTGAAAGATTTCCATGCCAAGCTATTGATCTTTCTGATGCTTTCTTAAATCCTGGCTTCCACTGTAAATCAAGTCTAAACCCCAAACCCACCAGTTCTATTACTATATTCTCACTATTCTTATCCTGAAGCATCAGCTCTCACACAAGTCTGCACCAGCAGCAGCCAAACAGGGCTACAGCCACCCCAGTGTGGATCAATGGGTGGCAGCTGCAGGTGTGCCAAGAACACGGGCCAAATGCACCGCTGTTGTCTGCCCAGAACAGTTACAAATGGCACGTGTGTGTGTAACAGTTATGATGCTTCTTTTAACCAGAATGTTTTCCATGCTGGTCTCTTCCCTTCTTTCATTCCCTCCTCCCCACTCAGTGTGACTGCTGACCATGTGGAGGGTTTTCTGAGTAGAAATGAGCAGGGAACAGATCCTGCTCTCATCAGAAAAGGGTTTCTTCCATGGCAAGGAAAGGAGCAGCTGGCTGCTTCCTGGCAAACACTGCTCTTCGTTATTGGGGTTTATACAAAAATGGTGTAGTACAGGTGGATCTGATACTTTACACATCCTTAACTGAGTCTCAATGCTGTTGCGTAGCTGTTAGGAACCTCCAGGATAATAATAAATAAGATCACATGGCTTAAAATAGCCTAATTTTCATTGTGCTTGGGTCCAAGCTTGTTGCTATGACGCTGCAAGTGCTTCAGTATTTTGTGGATTCAGGAAACCATGGAGACTGTTTTTATTCCCTGCTTTTTATTCAGGTAATGAGGCTGTATTAACTAGCTCCTGTCCTCCCGTTTCCTCTGAAGTTGTCTGGGAACCTTAAAAACAACAGAAAAGACACAAAGTAAATGGAAGGTGTAACTCTTCTGAGCAGTTTTGTCTCCTCCAGGAGCTGGTACTGCTGTGTCCAAGCTGTCCTCTGGGGCTTTACTGGCTGGATTCTGCATGTGCTTCAATCCCATAACTACGTTGTCACCAGAAACATGAAGGAACACAGCCCCAAACCCTTGCTACATTCATTACACTTCACTTGCACTCATCTCTAGTATTCCATGCACTTTGTGTCCGTGATGCATGTACCAGTGCAGGAATTGGTGGGGTGGTATTTTCTCCATCCCTGCAGTGGAGCAGACAAGCAGAGGAGGATTGCCTGGAGTCACACAGCCGGCAGGTTACTGTGGGACTCCTACTCAGCCTCCCAGATCACGCCGTCTAGCTCTTGGTTTTCTGACTTTTAGTGTATCAGTTTGGATTCGAAGTGCTCTCTCAGAGCTGTTACACACCAGATTGGACTTTTTTTAGAGGTAAATAGACCGGGGAGAAAAGAGACGAAAAGCAAGATGCTTATGAGTGCATGAGAACTCCCACAGGACATGTGATTGCATTTTAGCAGCTTGAAAATAGGCTTATGTGGGACAAATCCTCCTTCCACAGGCAGACTGTGGCACCTGTTTGTGGCAAAGCTGATCTCACCAGCAATTGCTTCTAATGTCCCTTCTTGCATCCCCCCTTCAGGGTTTGCATGTGGCCGAGTCTTGGCTGGAGGAACCAGGCTGCCAGTGACTGGTTTGCAAACACACCTGCTACAGGTTGGTCTGCATTTTTGCTCCAGAAGACAAGCACATGTGGCTTTGCTGGGGTGGGCCCAAAGGCAAACCACAACTATGCTTTGAGCATCCAGATTGCTATGTAAAGGCACACTAATTAATGCCGACTGACGTGGGCCAAGGAAAGAGATGTCTTCTTCCTTACTACTGTCTTATGCTGTAGTAGCTTCTCTTGCTGCTGTCTTCCCTGCTCCCGTGTCTCTTTGAGGCAGCAGTTCAACCTGCCCAGCTCCTCTAGCTCCACCACTGATTGCTCTTCACCTCCTGATCCTTTGGCAAAAATGCCAAGTTTAAATGTTTCTCCTTGAGCAGGAAGATGCTTTTCCTGCTTGGTGCCAATGACACTGGCTAAACTCACCTGTCATTTCTGCTGCTGGGGGTTGACTTTGCGTTTGTGTTGATGGTGACTCTCTATTTGACCTGGGTGTTCCTGCAGGTGTCTCTGTCCTGCTGTGGAGACCCCATATGATGTACAGCTGATTCAGTTCCTTGTCTTTGAGTCCTGGAACTGATTCTGGGTTTTCTGAAGCGCAGCATAATTGCTTAAAAACAAAAAGGGAACAACAACAAAAACCACTTTAAAAGCTATTTTTATGAGCAAACACCACACTTTGACTCATGCTTGGCCAATAACTCTTGCTTAACGGTGGTCTTGTTGGGTGGCCAGCTGAGAAATGACTGTATGACTGCACAGATCCCCACCTGACAGTGTTTATTCCTTGCAGTTGAGCTCTGAGACCCCATCCCACCCAGCAGCAAGTCCTGCTAGCCACTGCAGAGCTATGTTCTCCGTGCTGTCACTGTTCCCCTGCTTTGGTGCCCAGCTCAGCTGCTGGTGCAGCTCAGCTCACACAGCCCAGTCACTCAAGCACCTAAGAATCTGCTTTTTAACACAAGAACCCTTCTCACATGGTAGTAAGAGGACTGTCGTTCTTCAGGTAGATGGTCAGTAGCTGTCAGTGCTGTTTGGTGGCTGCATCTGAACAAAAGCTTAAGTGTGTGTAATGGGACATGGGCGCTGCTCAGCCCGGGTGGGGGGTGCTGTGGACGGGTGTGCGCTGCCACTGGATGTCACTGTCGCTTTATGGCACTGTGTGCTGGGAGGACGGCAGAGGGGTGGCGATGGCTCCCTGCCGCGGACATCCTATGAGTGGTGGGATGGTGGCATGGACTGGATGGAGAGCGGCTGCTGCACTGCACCTCCTACCCAGAGGCAATCCCAGAGAGAAGGATTTTTGCATTGCCAGTGTTTGTGCTGTTTGACTTCGTTTAAAAAACAAACCAACCAACACTTCCAAAGCCTTAGGTAGCCTTAGAAAGCCCAGAAGACTTAGTTCTTTGCTCTCAGACTGAGACATGGGGCTGATTTCTACAGCTTTGAGCAGTGTGCAGGCACCAGCAGATTGCAAGGGGAAATGATGCTCTCTTCTAGCTCTGACAAGTGGGGCTGGCATTTTCGCTAAGTCTGAAGTCAGGGAGTTGGGACCAATGTTTAAATTCAGCTGTGGTTGGTTGGTTGGTTTTTAATTAAAAACAAGCAAACAAAAAAAGCCTAAAAGCCCAATTGTGAGGCAGGGGGACGCAGCTCCCTAATTTTGAGATGACTGATGAGCCAGACTAGCAGATGGCTGCTCGCTTGCCTCTCTCCTGTACCAAACCTTACAACATTATCAAATCACCACGCTGACAACCTCAATCGCTGACTAATTAAATATTGTTTCTGTATTTTTATGCTCACTCATCTAAATAACGAGGCATTTCCAAATAATCTATTTCTGTTGCGCCAAGCGTGCTGGTCCCCCCTGGATCCACAGCCTGTTGTTTATGCTCTAGCAGGGAGCCGACTGCTGTTCCCTTCCCACAAAGGGCAAAAGATGCTTATTTTTCTCCCACTTGTCTTGCATAACAAAAGGCATTTGTCAATCCTTACATAACGGCAGAATTTGTCACTTCTTTCAGGAGGCAGCCTAGTCCCTGGCGCGGAGCAGCCATAGCTCCTCAGCACACGCCGGTGCGTCCCGATAGCGCACGATGCAGCATGACTAATGCTTGTCACCCACTGTTTGGGTTTTTCTTTCCCCCTCCTCCTTGGAAAAGAAGATGTGTCTTTTGGTTGTGGTTTTTATTTAGGGGAGCAGAAAGGATAGGAAGGTGTATGGGGGGGTTACTCGCTCGTTAATACGTGTTCCAAGGTGGCAATGGGGAGCTACCAGCAGCTCTGTGTGCTGCAGGAGCAGTGGGGCTCGTTCTTAGCCAGGGTCATGTCCTGGGCTCGGCAGAGCCTCTGGGAAGGGCCATGCTGGAAATGGAGCTCCATTTCCCCCTTCCCAGCACTCACAAGTGGA